CGTATTTACAATATCTGTCAAAATATTTGCTACACGTGCCAAATGACAAGCTCGCATGTAGTACGAACTCCAACAAAAACCCCGATTAAAATCTACTTCCCTCGGGCAAACGATTATTGCCGATTTTGTAACGAAAACGTCAAGATAAATGGCTATTCTCAATTGAATATTTTCAACGAGAAGAATCGAGATTTTCTGCGCCGCTTTAGGCTTGTTGTGAACGCCAAAGTTGAAAACAATTCCAAGATCTCACAAGTGCTATGTAAAAAGTGCTACAGAGCTGTCCTAAAGCATGAAAAGCTACTCAGTCAATCCGAAGAATTGCAAGAGTTCAGGAATAAATACAAAGAAGTAAACATAGATGTCGGAGAATTGACGCGACGCAAGAGATGTGCGAAAGAATCTCATTGTAATTCACCGAGAACCGCAAGAACACCGACACACCAGCGACGAAAACATTTTGTCTGTTTATCAGATTGTTTAGAAATATCGGGAAAACGTTTCTCCAAACAACCAGAGATTACACTTTCAAATAGTACGTTTGAAATAGACTCCATAAATATAACCAATAGTAAACAGTGATCAACAAGACTCGCGAAGTTATACGACCACGAAAAAAAATATATTCCCCACCCCCACTCCAGATACAAGTAAAAGCACCACACCTACCCCCAGAGGTATTTTAGTAAATTACTCTGATTGGTTTTCGGAAAGGGGCGTGATTGATAGTTGTCACCTGAAGCTTGGTGGCATGAAAGTGAGATTCTCAACGGTCCTGACCAGAGGTTCTCTCTTTCCGCTCGCTGCTTTGCAGCTCCCTTGGTCGGTGCTTTGCGCCGAATTATGGTTCTGTCCTGGTGTACCGGTTCACAAGGGAATTACCATTGTTCTTTCTTTGTTTAGGAGTCATTGGTTAGCTGCTGTGTATTGTTCGGTCTTTTGTATCGGCTCTTGTGAACCGGTACACGATGACAGAACCCGAATTATCGTACTCCGGGAGAGAGAAGAGAACCTCTGGGACCAGCTAGGTATGTTAAATGGTGAGGAGTTTTTGGAGTACACTGAGAGGTAAACAAAGACAAGAACTGAAGAAAATCCCAGGGATATTTGGCAAGTAAAACCAAAACTTTTTTTAGTCTCACAGTCTAATAGATATCCAGTAGTGATATATGAACTCTACGCCGAGAAACGGCCTTCATAACGATGCGCCATTTTATCGAGTAGTAACAGGTGTGAAAAATCTTGGTTCAAGAAATCAGCCGTTAGTGTTAACAAGTCAGAATTTATTAATAAAGAAAATACTAGAAAGCTAGACTAGTTCCCAATGTAAAGAACCATAGTGGTAGTAAAGCGGCAACATCTCAGCGACGAATAATATTATTATTTAAATTTGTCCCGCTATAAAAATGTTTAAAACATACTCAATTATTCCGTAGTATCTAAACAACAGAAGTTAAGAATGTCACGAAATTTAGTGGGCTGACAACAAGAAGGGTTCTGTCATGGTGTACCGGTTCACAAGGGAATTACCATTGTTCTTTCTTTGTTTAGGAGTCATTGGTTAGCTG